GGAGTATGGGGGATGGGGGGGGATGGGGAGGAGGAGCAGGGGTCCCGCGGCCCCAGCCCTGGCACCCACAGACCTGCTCTGGGGAGGGTCCTGAGCAGGGGAAGGTTCCCCCATCCCCACTGTCCCCTCCCAGGAGCACTGTGTGTGGCCCGTGGGGCTGTGCGTGTCCCATGGAGCCATGGGTGTCCCATGGAGCTCTGCATGTCCTGTGGAGCCATGTGTCCCCCCTGCACCCATGGATGTCCCATGAAGCAACCCATGTGCCATGGAGCTGTGCATGTTCCATGGGGCTGTGCGTGTCCCATGGAGGCACAGATGTCCCGTAGAGCCATTTGTGTCCCATGGCCCTATGGATGTCCCATGGAGCCACACATGTCCCTTGAAGCCAGGGATGTCCCATGGAGATGTCCATATCCCATGGAACCATTGATGTCCCATGAAGCCATACATGTCCCATGGCCCTACGGATGTCCCATGGGGAACCATAAGTGTGCCATGGAGCCGGACGTGCCCCTTGGAGCCGTGGATGTCCCATAAAGTCATACATGTCCCACACGGCCATCTGTGTCCCATGGCCCTATGGATGTCCCATGGAGCCATCCAGGTCCCATGGAGCTAAGAGAGTCCCACAGAGCCATCCATGTCCCATGGAGCCATGGATGTCCTATGGAGCCATCCATATCCCATGAACTTCTGGATGTCCCACAGAGCCGTTCCCATCCCACACGTGTCCCACAACGCAAGTCCCACATTCGTGTCCCCTCCGTGGGGCAGCGCTCACGGCAGCAGCCCCCCCCCTCCCCCAGGCTCCCATTTTGGGCTCCTCCACCGAAGCCGTGCAGGATCCCACATAGGTGACCACCTTTCCCAGCCCGGCCCCGGATCTGGACGGGCTTCCGAGCTGTTGATGGCACAGCCGAACCCACGGCAATAGGGATGTTTTGCCGTGCGGTTAAACCGGCTCCGGTTGCCGGCCGTGGGCGGCGGGGCTCTGCCCGCCCTGCAATTAAACCCCCGCAGTTGCAACACGGTTGGGGACACGGGGGACACTGGGGGACACACCTAGACCCGTCCTGCAGCAGCACCGAGTCCCTGTCCCCAGCGTGGCCCCTGCCAAAAGCAGGTCAGCCCCCGGGGCCCGTGCAGCGGCT